GAGGACCAAATTGCACTATTCTTTACAAATAGTGAAATATCCATAAATGTACCCCCATTGGAAATTGTGACTTTTTTAAAAAAATCAAGAAAATAGCCGTTATAAAAATTTAAAACTTAAAAACCAGCCGCTCTGACGAGACGAGCCCATCGGCCTCACTCACGAGCCATGGCCCATCCCATCCTCTTCAAATCATTAAATCCTGCAACGGTATTTCGCTTTTATTCATTATTTGTGAAAGGCAAGCAATTTTTTTTTTTTTTAAGAAGCTGCCTTATTTTCAGCTGTTCTACACATTTTATTTTAGAGTTTCTTTGTGACTAAGATAAGTCTCACGCACACACAAACGGTCTCTCTCTTACCAATGATATTGAATCTTATATTAAAATTGTTTACTTCCTATAAATTATACATTCGAGTCTCACGAATTTTTTTTTTTCTTTTCTCTTAATTAACTTATAAATAATTATAATATATTAAAAAAAATTAAGTGACACACACATAAACCCTCTTTAATGGTCAAAGGTTTCACTAGCCAACTTTTGATCCTTGGCATATAATATTGAGCAATTCCTAGATTCAATATCAATAAGCAAAAAAATATCTCATCTCTTTGTAGTTATTTCAAGAATTTTTTTTTTTTAATTTGTGCTTTAAAGATATAGATAGTGTAATTAATATATATTTTTTATAATTAATTTATATAAAAAAGATAAGTATTAATTTTGAATTAATTAATTAACTAATTAAAATCATTTACATACCAATAATATTAAAATAAATGTCAATTTTTAAAATTTTTTTATATAAATTAATTATTAAAAAATATATTTATTATACATTTAACTTGTACCTCAAAAACATAAATTAAACAAACAAAAAAAATCGACAAGAAACATAATTTAAAATTGTCACCAATATAAATAAACCACTACTCTATATGTGCCATCCGTTTCAAAATATAAGCCCTATAATTTTTTTGTACATATTTTTAATTAATATTATTTTATAATATATAAATAATAATTAAAATTTTTCAAATCAAAAGAAATTATTCCATCGTGTTAGATTTAATTATTTCAATTTAATTTCTATATAAAACTTGACCCAACAATTTTACATATTAAATAAATAATAATTAAAATTTTTTATTTAAATGAAAATACTCAATAAGTAACACGATATAAAAAAAATTTATATTGTCATTTATTTATTATATAAAATTATTTGACCAAATTTTATATAAAAATCAAATTAAAACAACCAAATCCAATTGGAGGGAGTACTCAACCAAAATCATGTATTTTGACCAAAAAGAAAAAAAAATCTTTTATAAAAAAATTCTCATTTATATCATTAAAAAGTATTACCCAAATATTTATGCAAAAAATTCAAATCAACTTAGATTTTTAGACTGAAGGAGTAATAAGAGAGAGAGA